TAGTGTCCCGGCACTCACATGATCCCCTTTTACAACCTTCTAACAAGCAAAGTCAATGGGGGAGCCAGATTCACTTAACAGCCGTGTTACTAACTTAACAACTGCAGTGATTCACTTAATGACTTTGGCAAGAAAGATCCTAAAATGGGTCAAAACTCACTTAACAACTGTCTCACTTGGCAACAGAAATTTTGGACTCAATTATGGACAAGCTGTACGTATGTGTTTCTGAATGTATGTCTCTAAAGGCCACTGGAGGCATGTTCTGGTGATGGAGCCAAGTTGTATGTACAGAATTGCACTCTTCTGGGGTAACCTGGGAGATGATTCAGCCACTTTAAATATCAGCACTGAAGGCTTAAAATGTAATACTTCCATCCATTCGGGTCCTTGCAAGCATCCATTCCACCAAGTCTTAAATAATGCACTGAAGAAATTGGCTCTTTATAAATTAAATTTGGACAAAGTTGTCCCAATCCTCAAGGAATTAGAAAATGGAAGCTGGGGTCAGCCCATAGGCTATTCTTTGATTGCAGCAATAGAGCAGGGCTAAAAAACTGCCAACAGAATACTGGAAAAATAAAAATATTGGAAAAAGGGAATAATAAAAATCCAAAATGGGAACATGGCTGAGGTGTAAAGAATTGTGCATGTCATGGAAAAACTGAGTATGGCAACTCTGTGAATCTCAAATAATTTCAACAAAGCATTCCACTTCAAAAATGTCAATGAAAAGGTGGCAATTCTATGCAAATACACATTTTTAAGTAGACATTATTCCAGAACACACAAAAGATGATGAAAATTCAACTTAGTTGTGGAGTTAGTCATACTTCAAATACAGCCAGTGAAATCAAGGGCTCTTAAGTTAATTGTAGCGAGGTCCCCTTGATGTTAAGGAAGCACCTCTAAGTATGATCAATATTATTGTTATATCAAAGTCCCTGTAGTTATCCTTCCTTCCTTCCTTCCTCCCTCTCTCCCTCTCTCCCTCTCTCCCTCTCTCCCTTCCTTCCTTTCTTTCTCTTTCTTTCTTTCTTTCTTTCTTTCTTTCTTTCTTCCCTCCCTACCAAGCATGGTACTGAGGAAGTACTTGCTCTTCTAAAAAAGGACCTAGATGTTCAAAATGTTACTTTAGAATAACAGAATTGGAAGGGATCTTGAAGTTCTTCTAGTCCAACCCCCTGCTCAGGCAGGAAACCCTATACCATTTCAGACAAATGGTTATCCAGTCTCTTCTTTAAAAATTCCAGTGTTGGAGCATTCACAACTTCTAGAGGCAAGTTGTTCCACTGATTAATTGTTCTAACTGTCAGGAAGTTTCTCCTTAGTTCTAGGTTGCTTCTCTCTTTGATTAGTTTCCATCCGTTGATTCTTGTCCTGCCTTATTCACCTATGCTTCTGACTACAATAAATCCTGCAAATTCTTTCCAACTAGTACATAGATAATGCAAATTCAGTTCCCATGAATATTCTCTCCTGTTTTCCTTCACTGCAATGGGTTTAAATCTTGGCTGTGCCCTCTTGCATATCTGAATTCCATAAAAATGAAGTGTTAATAAAAAAATTCCATATCCTATACGTGGTTTAAACCTCAGTATTAGATTCCAATAAAAGGGGATATAAAATCACAAAACTTCATCTCTCTTATTTTGGCCATGTCATGCAGGGGAATTCACTGCAGAAAGCAATTATGTTTGGAAAAGTTAGCAGTAAAAGGAAGCCAGGTTGGCAAAGAACACAGTGGCTGGAGACCATCAAAGCTAACATCAGACAGAGCATAGAAAAACTCATTGAAGTAGTGCAAGATTGGAAGATGTGGAGAGACCTGGCCTATAGAACCGCCAAGAGTCAGACACAACTGAATAGATAACATCATCCTCAGAAGGAAATGTATGTAGCTCAGGGATCAACTATGAAGTCCTTGATACTCTCTGAGCTTGATTGTTTGCTTGCAGACATTTCATTATCCAACTAAGTAACACCATCAGTGTTAAATGGAAGTGGGATTTCCTCCCTGTTTATATACAGTATAGTAGCTTGGCCTACCAATGTTTGTGAGAGGTGTGGTTTTCTTCTTGGAAGTTCCTTGATTATTGTTTTCTACTTCTTTGTCTGTCTGGTGTTAACCCCATCTTATCTGGGTGTTGTTTGCTGGAGATAATGTTTTCTGGTCTTTTTGTTTCCCTTATTGTCTCTTTTTAAGTGTGTATAAATGTGGTCTGTTGATGACTGGTTTATGGGATATCTCTTTGTGTCTATTATGGCTGATTTATCTCTATAATTTACCCTGTATCTATTGATCAGCTATATGCTTCTTATTCATCAGCCTTTTCTCATTAAGGTAACTAAGCTCCCATGTATGCATGTAATTAATTTTGGATAGTGCCTTGAGCCTTCTAGTTTTGTTTTGTTTTGTTTGTTTTTTAAAAATCATTTCTAAAAAGTAAATCACCGAAACTGTTCAATGGGGATGTTTCCTCACCATTTTATGTCACCATACCTTAAGCTTGAGTCGTTCGTACCTCAGTTTTCAAGACTTAACAAAATATTTAAAAGAATAAATAAAAATAGAACCCTCTGTTTCTCCCTATCAACAGTTTAGTCCAGGGGTAGGCAACCTTGGCTCTTTTATGACTCGTGGACTTCAACTCCCAGAATTCCTGAGCCAGCCATGCTGAGGGGAAAAGGAGAGGTTTCCAAGCTGAGCCATGCTGGCTCAGGAATTCTGGGAGTTGAAGTCCACGAGTCATAAAAGAGCCAAGGTTGCCTACCCCTGGTTTAGTCAATCCTTACCATCCAATTCTTCCACTGAGATGTTGGCCAATTGTTCACTGTCGCTTCCTGCTGAGAGTGTCCGGTTCAGATAGTTTCCTTTGTACAGCAGTCCAGCCGTGACATGATGGAATGGCATCTTCTCCCTAGTGGTATAAAGACAGAAAAGGCCACTCACATTCTCGTTCATCTCTAGAACCCAAAGCATGACATATTAGAAATAACAAGCGATGCCAATAAAGGAGAGTACAAGTAGTCCTCGCTTAATGACTGTTGCTTATCAACCATTCAAAGTTACGACGGTCTCCAAAAAAAGACATATCTATGTCCCATCTTTGAAGTTGTGACTGCCACATCCCACCCCCACATTTAAAATAGAATAGAGTAGAGCTGGAAAGGACCCTGGAGGCAAGCTGTTCCACTGGTTAATTGTCCTCACTGTCAGGAAGTTT